TCAACCAGAAAAACTTACTAACTTGTACATGTGTTACTGAAGTACAATAATCAATATGGCCGACTTCTACGATCCATATTTATACCTAACTATCCATACTAATCTATTATGCATATATTAACTGTACATTATCTCTAAACACTATACATACCAATATCTTCCATGGCCGATTTCATTTCTTCATTCAGTTCTCTCATTTTCTTATCAATCAGACTATGGTAATTAACAACCCAAACAGGAATGGCATAAGGCTTGAAATTGTGTTTCTCTTCACTGAGCATAAATATTAGAATGTGTGAAGCAGCCTCCCTCTTCTTGCTTGACACACCCAAGGAAAGACCAAGTAACATAAACTGTGATTCCCCCTTTGAGTATCAACAATGCCTGGCTTTATACCACATACTTAAATTATGAGCACTGGAGTTTTAGTGTGTATTATTGTTCACACTGTACTGTACATGACTGTATCATAGCAGCGAACAGTACTGTTCAATAACAGAACATATCAACTTTATTACATGGACATTTACAATTATATAGCTATTAGTATTTAATTACTGTACCTTTCACATATTCCACCAAATTATTTTGAAGGGAACAAACAGCACTGCGGATGTTCATAGCATGGGTGCACCCACTCTCAATAATATGGATAATTGAGGTTGCTGATTGCATCAAGGATTGATACTTATTTAGTAAAGCACTATACTCATCCAAATTCCATGCAGAAGCAAACATTTAATTCTCAGAGGTACTAGGTGTTTGTCGCAGCTTATCATATACTTTCTTGGCTTCTATATGTGCTGATGTCAGGAATTCCTTTCATTATTCAACTTTGCCAGCTGCAACTTTAGATCTTCCTCAATGCAATTTAGTGGAGCTCGACTGTTTAATCCAACACAACATACAAATTTCAGATAATTTATGTATTCTGCATGTCGTTTCTCCAGATCACCATCACCCACATCTGACCATATGTTCTTCACAGACTCTCTCAAACCTTCTTGAAGGTCCATCCCGTCAGCTTTGATCCACCACCTTCCATTTGGATATATATATATAAAATGATAATATAAAATGAATAAATATGTACAAGTAATGTTGACTGACAGTGGAAACAAGTGTGATAAATTGTATTTAATTTATAATTTTGACTTTGTTATGTTTATATACACTTCCACACTCATTTTTTTACATGGATATAAAGGATTTTTGCATTGCAAATAATTACAGCGTTAATCATTTCCTTGTTTACTAGGCTAGCACTATATTAATTGGCCAAGTACTCATGTTGACCATCAGTCAATGAATACAAATACTAGTATCAACCTGAATCTTTGCACTTTTGTTGAAATCACCACCAAGGTTCATTCCCCTAATAGTTTGTGAAGAAGGTCCAGCAATATTCACTTTTTCCTAAAAAGTGAATAAATTAAAATGTAAAGTCCACTAAAATGTACAAGCTGGCTGAACTATCATGATCGCATCTTGAAATATATTTCCTCTTACATTTCAAACATGACATTGTCATAATGTCTTAACCAAACCTATTGGCTGGTCAAGTTTATTTCTGGTCCCAATTTGTCAAAATTTATGAATTTTGGTTCAGTACCCTTCCCAATCTTCAAATCGCTCCACAGTAACATGTTAAAACATATTTACATAAGTATAGTGTTCTCTTTTACTTATATCTTCTTAATAAAAAACAAAAATGTTAAAAGCATGTTAAAGCTCTTACTGTACCATGCTTTCCTGAATTTAAGATTGCCTGTTTTCATTGGTAGGTTTATAGAAAATACTGTATCCTTCTCTTTAATTAATACAACATTGTACAGTACCTGTAATGGATCTCCTCTGATTATTCTGCCAACATGAACTGAATTATTTGTGACACTGACATCTTCATCCACATCTTCTGTGTTCTCCCTGCTTTCTGCAACAACAACATCCGAATCATTTGCAAAACTGACAGTAGATTAATTTAAAAGTTCAAAATCATCTCCAAACGATTCTTGCAATGCTTGGGAAAGAATGTCAGTTGATGCCAAGGTGTTACTTGTCAGAGATACATCTCCACACTCTAACTCATATGACCACAATGATCCAAGATGCATGGATGCCCCATTTGTTCCCAAACAAAGTGTACAAACTCTGAAACCATGATTTATAATCCCCAGATGGTTCAAGAAACTTTACATCGTCTGATGCAAAAAACTTCAAATTGTGAGCAATAAGCCTGAAAGGCATTCTATCTAATGGAAGTCTTGGAATATCCATTCCAGGGCGTTTTTCTCCAAAACAGCGGGTAGCATGGTATATGATGTTATCTTTACCAGCACTTTGTAAAACACTCATAGCTTTCATTACAAGTGGCAAGAAGTCATAGGGAACAAAGATAGTACCAAAATTAAGACAGTCTGGTGTACTATTAATCCACACATGAAACAAATGGACAAGCAGTTGTTCACATTGCCTTGAAGTTAACTTCTTGAACCCAGATGAAACATCAAGTATACATCCAGGAAGTTTAATGACATCAGTGTCGCACAATGGTGAGAATCCCAGTAATGGAGATTGTACCTGGGTAAATTGGTCACTATGAACTTGCAGGCTCACAGCTGGACATCCATTTGAGGTGCTACTTGTCTTCCCCACATTAAAATAACAAATGTTATATTCATCTTCTGCTTCTTCTGTTGTTTCAAACTTTTCTTTTAAAAATCGTCTGACTTTATCTCGGCATGCACCTCCTATGAGGAAATAAACACAAATTTAAACTTATCAGAAGCATGTCAATAATTGATTACTTACAATGCCACAGGGATATTTTTAGGAATGTACTCACTAATTACATTTGTATATGTTAATTAACCCCATTAAGCCGCAGTGCGCCCCAGTGCACCTTTTTTAAACTTGTCTAACACCAGACTATTTTACTCGTCAATGGGGTAGCTTTACAGCTCAATGGGTTAATGATGATTTTTTACAAACAATTAAGCATTTTCAAGTACTTACCAGTCCGATTCGTTTGTTGATTGGAACAGTTAACTGCTTCAGCACATTTGTTCCAAAACTGCTCATTCTTGTGTGTTGGCCACACGGTACTAGAAGCTTCATCTGGTGCATGATAAAGTGCCACATATTCCACCAAAGATGAAATGTCATCATAACTCCATTCATTCTGTGTCAATTTGAAAAAATATATATATAATTTTCAACCAACTGTAGCAATTAAAACAATTCATGGGAATTGTTATCATATAGCATACAAAATATGACCAAATGGACTACAATATTTCTATATTTTAATGTTGTATTAAGCCTACTGGACATGTCATGTGGGCTGAATATCCCACAAACAGGAAAATTACACAGAAACTACAGATTCTCCCTTTTTTTTAATTACAGTCCCAGTTTGAAACGAAGATTTCCTTGTGGTCTTTTTTACATTTTCTTGCATATGCCTTTTTGGTGGTTTCTTTCCATGTGTAGCACCAGTTGGAGGACTGTGATATCTCTTGGTGCTTTCAGACATTAGATACTTTGTTAAGATATAACTAGGTGGTGTTGAACTATGGAAAAAAATTGAGAAGTATACATAAGACTCACAACATTATAGTTTTAATATTTTATAGTTATAAATGTACAATATATTTTACAGGCAAAGAAGGGTTCACACTTCATTATTGCAGGTGGTTTTTATTATATATTAACATTGATAGGTGCATTAAACACAATGTTTGTTTGCCTAAAACATGTATTATAATATCAATTAGGATCTTATAGCTCAAAACAAAACTTAAAATATGTGGATATTTTGTGTTTAATATTAATGAACCTTAACAATCATACAACTACAAGGATACAAAGTATCTAGACGATTCATAGCATAGCCATAGTGGTGTACAAGAATATGATCATCCATATTAAAAGCGTAATATTTCGTGAATGGCGTCGGGGGGCGAATGGTAAAAGTTGTAAATTAGACATCTGTTTTAAATATTGGTGACAAATAATGGACGTCAGAGAAGTGAGAAAACATATTTTTTCATTTAAATGTCGCTGACACAGACAGGGTTTGTTTACACGTGTGTGAGTTAAGGGACCCATTGAGACACACTTACCCGACAAAAGACATAATATATTCAACAGTAAAACAAAATGCGCCAAGATATGCATTTCTATCAAGGAAAATTTACATACAGAGTGAGGAAAATATGCAAATTCTAAAGCTGAAGATTTCCTTGGCTTTGTGTTTGTTGTGAAGCGCAAATGTAGATACGTTCTGCTGATTGGTTAAACTGTGCATGTGACTGCCTGTCTAACCTCCTCTGTTTGTGAGCTGTGTTCTGCACAAAAACACCAGGATTCATAATTCAAGATCCTTGTTTAGCTTACTTATAACTTAGCTATAGGCCTTTCAAGTGTTCTTGTTCACATGATGGGATGTAAACTTCAGTACCTTGCACTCATCTTATAGGGATTCAAACATTACTAAATCCAGAATATGGTACTCAGAGACATTAGAGAGTTTTAGCTTGACGTTTACCACAAACGTCAAACCGCTAACAAAGTTTTTGATTTTACAACTTTATTATAACCGCTTTTACACCAGTTTTGAAATATATTAAACAATTATTAAACTTGTGCTCTTTAGCAGTGACTTAAGAAAGCAAATTAACCACTAGTCACACATTCACGATGCAAAGCAGTAAATGAAGATCTGGTATTTGAAATTTACGTTTGGGGTATAAATTTCATGCTTGAACTGCTACGAAGGCTTGTAGTCGTTAAAGCATGAAATTTATATGCCAAATGTAAACTTCAAATGCCAAATCTTCATTTACTGCTTTGGTGAATACATGACTAGTGGTTAATTTGCTTTCTTACATCATTGCTAAAGAACACAAGTTTAATATATTTCAAAACTGCTGTAAAAGCTGTTAAAATAATTTTTTTTTGAAAAAATTTTTTTCCCCATGATTTTAATGCCAAATTGTTACAAAATTATAATGTTGGCCGAGCGCAACAGGGACTGGTAACCTGTGACGTAGCACGAGGGGACTCATGTTAGTCGTGTTGTGTTTGCTACTGTATAAATATATGAACAGAATTGCTATTTCAAGCTTATTTTTGGATTATTTCATTGAAATTTTACATTGATAATGTCTAGAATGTCTTCCGGGTCTGACAAATGCTCTATCTCTGACAATGACTCGGAATATAACTATATTCCGGGTAACTATTCGCTCATTGAAACAGAGATTATGCAAGCTTCAGAAAGTGACAATGGCGATGTAGAACAGTCTGAACAGACGAGCTTTGCTGATGTGGAACCGTACGCAAGCGAGCCTATAGCGGATGAAGAATGGGTTGAAGAGTACAGACAACGACAAGCAGAAAAAGAACAAAAGCTTGCAAGTTTGAAAGATCGCTTAGCTGGAAAAGAAAGCCTTAATTAATAACTGGTAAGTCTGAAACAAAACTAACATGTATTTTTAACATTTTAAATTCAATGCCAATATTATAAATCATAATGTATAAATTGCTGACCCATTGCTATCACATTTTAGGTGCTCTTGTGGTAAATGCTCAACAACCCTATTACAAAATTCCAATGAGTGCTTATGTTGTCAAGACATAGAGCAATGTGTGGAGTCCTTGTCTGATAAATGCATGCTTGAAGATTTGCAAACTGCTCCAGAATGTATAACATTACATCCAGCATTTGGAACTGTCTGCCTTGATAGATGGTCATTAAGGTTAGCAGCTGGGAAGTACAGGACCATTGACAAAAAGCGTTATCTACAAACTGGTTCAGATGAGGCGTAAGTCATCTTGACAATAATTCTGTATTTTTGTTAATTGGGGGTGTTAAGGTGTTTACATCAGCCTTATAATAGATTATATATAATGTATAGACCACTAAGACCAGTAGGGTTCATTTTCACCTTGGTTAACATGGTAAAAATCCCAAGAGTACCAACCATGTAGCATAAGATGTTGCTTACAATCAATGTGCTCTTGGGAGTTGGGATGGCAATGATCAATTAAAATCCATTGTGATAGCTATCATGAACCTTTCTATAGTATTACCAATAAAGTATTTTATAGCGGTCTTTTTCTACTTTGTCATTGTGTGGCATAACTTTGGTCATATGAATGAATTTCTATTTTAGATTCATGAGAAGTGTGGCATACCGTCAATTTATACACCTGGTATATGAGCATGTTGGAAAACATAGGATTCCACTTCCTGCATGTGCCTACCATGCAATAAGGAGCAACTTCCAACCCAAAGACAGCAATGAATATTTTGTTGGTTTTCAAGATGAAGACATGGATAACTAAGAGTGATTACCTCATGCATAAAGCTCTCCCCTTGACAAGTAAAATTGTCTGGTGTTATACAGAGTAATATAATAAGGTAGCACACTTTTTGGAGACATCTATTCGTAGTTAGTTTGTTTGGTTAACCCTTTAAGTGGCAATGCACCCTGATGTGCCCTACTTTAGTATTTAAGTCCATCTAATGCCAGACAATTTTATTCACCAAGTAGAGAGTGCTGCCACTCAATAGGTTAATCAAACAAACTGCCCATGCATCTCTTAACCCTTTAAATGGCAATGCACCCTGATGCACCCTACTTTAGTATTTTACTCTGCTAATGCCAGACGATATTTTACATGTCAAGTGGAGAGTGTTGCCACTCAATGGGTTTGCACATTGCTCTTCCCTTAACCTATCAATCTGTATGTCATTAGACAGAGTAAAAGAATAAACTGGAGTGCATTGTGGCTTAATCCACTAAGCTCAAATGCAGCCTAATTATTCTGTACCTCTGTTTAATGACATACAATTTACATACTTTATTTGTCAAGGAAAGAGCCTTGCCCATTAGTGGGTTAACCAAATTTTCCATCTAATGCCAGAGGATTTTAATTGGCAAGGGTGTGATAGCCTTGTGCATTAGATACTTGTAATTAACTTGAACAAAATAACTACTGTAATTTTACATATTTTTTGGACAGTCCTTTACATTTTTATGTCCTTTCATGGGATTTTTACATGATCGACAATATCTTGGCTTTCGTAAAACGGTTTGAGTCATTGAAGATTCATTCACTAAAACACAAAAAATATGTAATCAGTTGATATCCTCAAAAATTTCACAAGAGAGCACAATGTAAATATTCTTCTCTTGATAATTAAATGTATTTTACAACTTGTCTTTGCTTATAGAATATACCTTGCACAGTCCTAGGAACTTCTTGTACAACCATGGATTTCCTCTTTTTCCACAATTCTGTTGCCTTGTCCCTTGGCTGTTTTTCCAACATGGTGTTCATTGGGGCTGGTGTCATTGCCTGCAGTTCCAATCTTGCTGCTTCTAGCTAAACAAAACATTGTGTAACTTGAAATTAATTTTAAACACAGTTTCCCCAAATCCTATTTTCCTTCCAACTAGTTTACTAGAGGGTGGGGTATTCAACTGTCAGGCTTCAGGATGAGTCAGAATGACAATGGCATTACAAACACTTACTCTTCTTGAGATGCCACAGGTCAAAATAGTGCTTTATATGGGCAAGATTTTCCCGCATATGTTTGGCAATACCAGTGTGACGATCAGTGATGAATGTCTCAAAAAGAATTCCCCAAACCAGAAGGCTGTCCATGCAGTTTTTGAACCCCAGCAGCTCCATTGCCGGACTATATTTCTCTATTATATTTTCTCCATTGCCGGACTATATTTCTCTATTATATAAAATAAATGAGGATATAGATTAGTAAAGAGGATAATATGCTTTTTAGCTTGTAAATTAGTAAGGCTCTGACCCCATGTCAAGAAAAATCATCGGCAGTAAAAGAATAAAGTGGCCAGGGTACATTGTGCCATTGGCAGATACTGGCAGTGTTGTGAAGTTTTTTCCTTCATTTGGGTATTAGGTTTCACATTTGTCAAAAAAAGAGTCAGCCATGTTTTTATCTCTGCAACATTCACTTTTGCCATTTACTTTACATTTACCTAACTGTTTCTGTAACTAATATAATGATAAAATGACTTATTTTCCACTTGGAAAAGTTACAGTAAGTACAGAAAATGTGGGTGTCTATGCCTACCTGAACCAAGGAAAAATCATTGATGAGGGGAACTGTGCAACAGAACAAAGTGTAGGCACAGTATTTGGCACTGTGACCCATGCTGTCATGCCTGCCATCACCAGCAATGACTAGAGACTGTTCTGTTGCTTTCAGCTTGGCCATCATTTTCTCTTGGCATTTCTTCCAGTACAAATGCACAGTGGGAAAGAGTCTGTTCTAAAGAAATAGTTAAAAATAATGTGTCATGCAGTTACATTATATGTGTAACTAAAGCCAGTAGTTCATGTATACACACCCTGACCCTGTGTCAGGACCTAAAAATTGGCATACATGAAGTAGTCCCCATCTGCATATAGCCGTATACTCACAGCCTGATGTTTGAAGTAAGTCTTCAAGGAAATGCAAGATAATCCAACATTCTTGAAAACTAGAAATATTTTGGATGGTGAAGCACCAGACACCAGGACTGAAAAACAGAGCAGGAAGTTCATTGCTGGCATTTTTGTTCCTGTCATGATTGGCTGACTTTTCCAGGTATTCTCAGGAGATGAACAGTCAGGGTTAAAGCACTTTGTTGTTATTTTAACCATAGTACCAATAACACTCGTTTCAATAAAGGGCTTCTCTGATTTACAAGCTGGACATACATTGAATAGGAGCAGCAGCTGAGACAAGAACACAATGAACTTTGGCTTGGTTCGTAAGTTTTCTGAATTATCTGGAGTCCTGTAACAATGAGGACAACAAAATATATCTATTAATAAACATTATTCAAGACTAGAACATGCTCAGCAGTTCTAAATAATACTATAATTATTATTATACTGGGAATAAATTACACACAATATAACCAAGGCTAAATTTCTATGCAATTTACAAAGTGATATATATCCTATTACAATAAGTTTTTTTTTACTAGTAATTAAAAATGTATAGATTTCCCACTTCTGACTATTATTAAAAATATTTACAGCATATAAAATTGGGCTGTTCTTAAATCTGCTAATTTTACTATAAAAATTGTGAGAATAATCTTTATTGGATCTTGTGTTCCTTCTAGCTACTTGGCGGGAGGAGTGATCTTGTGATCTTCATGGGATAGATTTTACATTCCCATAACAGATACTCCTTCTAGCTACAGTACTTGACATATTTTTATTAATATGTTAACATTTTATTACAGTATGTGTACAATTTACTGCAGAAACTGCCCATAGAAAATTTTAAAAACTTTAATGCCCTGATGGAAAGCCTTGATGTACTGTATGTACACTGATGTGCCCTACTTTATTTTTTAACTCTGTCTAACGCCATACCCCCCACACCCACCCTGCGACAGAAGAGATTGGAAATTCAAGAGGATGGGGGGGGGGGGGTGTCATTGCATCAAGATTTCCAGCGGAGTGGGGGTATACTAAAAAGTCTTGATATTTCCAACCAATATCAAATGCTGGTCATGCACGTTTTCTTCCAGCATTTTTTCTTTACAAGGTTCACATATAAACAACAACATTCGTCAGGTTTTACCACAAATGCCAGGACACAGTTACCACATTTACACCTATGGACTGTTAATATATTAAAGTATACAGACAATTAAAGTATATATAATTGAAGCATATGCTATATCATCAATTAAATTAAAGTATACTTCCCACAACTTTGTGCAAAGTAATATGTTTTCTTATGTGAGTTCCAGTTCCAGTTTGGCAACACAGTAATCTTTAAGCTATCTCTCATTGAATACGTTTCATGCAACAGAGGTGACAATAATATTTTATAAGGAGACCAGTAACCATTTATTTTGTTTTACATGAGCATCACATGTTTGTTTTATGAAATGCGATAAAGTTTAAAAATCGAAAGCCAACCATACCAGACATGTCAACTCTAAAATGGGCCAAGTTTCAGCTGAAAAGTCATTACTTTTGAAATACTCTTCTCTCAATACAGTTGCTTCTATAATTGAAGTGATTAAGAGCAAAATAACACAGAGAAGTTATATGGCACTGAAATGAGCAACAGTATAAAGACAGCAACTGCAACTAAAGGTTTATACGATGGTTTATACGATGCCTTGTATCCTTTTGTTTGCAAAAAAGAAAAACCAAGACAAACCTGTTGAATCGTTTTTTGCTCTGATACCAAGATTGTGCGATTTACTCAACTGCAAGGACTACAGGGATGCAAATGCTATACTGATTCACATACCTGATCATCTTGTTATATTTTACCACACAAGTAAATAGAGGCACATACTAGGGAAACAGAAGCTTCAAATGTCCAAAAACTTGATCCAGCTGAACGTGGGCCATTGTCATATGTTGCTTGTTATGTGGTTTCGAAGCTTTTTCAAAAAAGCAAATGAGAGGCTGGGAACCAAAAACGAGGATTTACAGTCTCTGTTCCAAAGCACGAAGTCAATTGATCAGTTGACAAGTTTTATTTTTGCAGAATATTTATTCCGAAAACAAGTGAGTGAATCAACCCAAGGTACATTGAGAAAGATACCCACTGATGCGATAATTATGTAGTAATGCCTTGGAATCACCTGTAGTCATGCCACTGTGGAATAACATTGTTATGTCTGCGGGAGTGGCTCACTCCAGTTCCACCCAAAAACTGTGTTTGGAAAATGTTGTTAAGCTTAAGGGTCAGGTCGTTTTCGTATGCCAGAGATTATTTAACTAAGCGTAGGATAAAAGAAAAACAGCTCAAGAAGAAAGCACTGAGAAAGGACTTGAAACAATATAGCACTAAATAGAAACTCTATATATCCAGTGATGTAATTACTAAAATGGACAATAGCAGAAATAATGTCACAATCATGCTATGACAATTATAAAGTTCCATACAGTAAAAATATTAATTATCATGGTATTACAAACTGATACCATATGTCAGGAAACTTGTCATTAAATGTGCCATAGCCTTGTTGGTTTAAAATAAGTTGAAAGTCGAAGGGTTATACAACCCTTAATCTCCTCATTTTTCAGGGAAATCTAATAATTTTCCTCATGTCTTTGTATCACTTGTAATGCATTAAATTTCATGTACATACTGTCTGCTATATTTGATTTATCATCAAATAATTGTTATCACCATCCGGTTGTAGTTTTTATCTAAAGATACTAATTAACATAATTATAGTTGTGAAGGTCCAAAATATATATATATTCTACTGGCTAGGTATAACATGCCTAAAATTCCAAGCTATATCTGTGTGATCCCCTTTTCAAAATATGTTAGTCAATGAAGAAAAAGAGAAGCAGAAGTAATTAGACCCCAGTTACACTATACCACATCAGAGCAACTTCAATTTTACTGTTTCAAGGTGAGTTTAGGATGTGAATACATGATACCACAGAGTCAAAAATAAGCAAAAAATATTTATAGTGTGTTGAGAACAATCAAGACCAGCTCACTCCGATGCAAATCTGATATACTGTAACTGGACTGTTAATGGTCTTTGCGCCAAAAAATTATATGCCAGTCGCATCCCTGGTTTGGCTTGAACTATCAACATTAATTGTCACATAGTTTATCCATCAACAAAAACCAATATTTAACTTTAAACTTTGGAAATTATAGTAAAATGTTTAAAAAATGTAATTCTAGGCTAATGCAGATGAAATATTAGTAATTCAGTTACTGAAGTAAATAGCAAACTCCAGAGTCTAAAGCTAAACACACCTCATATACAAAGTATATGTTGTAAACATACAGTTTTATTTTCATGGTTTCTTCCGCTTCTTTGTGGGCACATCACTGACTTGACTCCACTTCTGCTTCTCATACAATCAAGACCAGCTCACTCCGATGCAAATCTGATATACTGTAACTGGACTGTTAATGGTCTTTGCGCCAAAAAATTATATGCCAGTCGCATCCCTGGTTTGGCTTGAACTATCAACATTAATTGTCACATAGTTTATCCATCAACAAAAACCAATATTTAACTTTAAACTTTGGAAATTATAGTAAAATGTTTAAAAAATGTAATTCTAGGCTAATGCAGATGAAATATTAGTAATTCAGTTACTGAAGTAAATAGCAAACTCCAGAGTCTAAAGCTAAACACACCTCATATACAAAGTATATGTTGTAAACATACAGTTTTATTTTCATGGTTTCTTCCGCTTCTTTGTGGGCACATCACTGACTTGACTCCACTTCTGCTTCTCGTATCTTCCACCAACATTGCCTCTCAATACTGAGGCAGTATCTCTCTGGGCCACAATGGTCATGTCATTGTACACAAGCTGCTATGTCATTGGGCTGTCTGTACATCCACCTTTTGCTCTCTGGTGTCCAAAGTAATCCTCTAGCACATCTTGAACCCTTCAGCAAGCAAAAACTGAATAGCCTCAATGTGCGAGTGGACATAAAATTTGAGGCCTTTGTAAGTGAAAGAAACATCTTACCCCTTCTGTCAGCAGTGTAGATTCCCTGTCATTGCATGATGCTCTCTCTCCACTTTTCCAAGTACTGCAGGAAGACATCCTTCAACCAAGCAAATCTCTCATCATCTTGGGACTTAAGTGTAAGGTGTGATGAAATGATTTCTTCTTCTAACATGCTCAGTCAATGACTGAACATTTGTGCAGTCAAAGAAATAATTCATCATCTTACACAATTCGGTTGTACCAAGGACATCCTCATCATCTTTTTCCTCCAATGCTGTTGCAACCGACTGAGTAAGAACTCGCATTGCTAACTTCACCTTCATTTTGCTGTATGAAGTAAGGACTTATATGATCTAGTTTTGGCAATGTGTGCAAGGCAAATTCCTGGTCACTGTAGAAAAGGTCAGCAATGAACATCAGGTATCTACCATTGTTCCACATCAGACAACTGCAACAACTCAAACCAGAGTTGTATTAGCAATTCCAGGCGGTCTTCATTAAATGGTAGGCATTGGCAAAAATATTATGTACCTTGTAAATAACATCACAGTCATTCACACACTGGGAATGGAGTTCAAAGAACTTATAATTAGGAGATGCTCCACAGTTGACTGCAGCAATAATGACCCAAAGGTTTAATGACACGTCAAGTACTCCTACAACCTTCCAGAACATGGACATTATCTGGTAGGCGGTAACATTTTCGGTAAAATAATATGCAATGACATGTTTGAAGTCATTGCACATTCCTCTTACCAAAAATGCAAGTGCATGAGTTGCCATTACATCTTCAACAAACCCAATCAACTCACCAGATTACTTGTCAAAGACAAGGTTAGACTGGATTTTCATCTCATCCATGACCAACACCAGATATCGTTGAATGTCTGTTAATGTGGCAGCTTTTTCACATAGAGACTCGATGTTCTCCAAATCTATGCCAGCTTTAGGCTTAAAATATTTATTGTAATCACAAAAAACTCTCTCACTGGGCAAAATCAAAGCTCCATTCTTTTGTAACTCTCTGTACACAGCTGCAGACTTGCCATGCAAAGCGATTAATTTGTGGGTGGTATCGTCTTCCCATTTTTTGGGTTTGCAACAGTTTCATCTGCTTCTCACAAAAAACTTCATGCAAGTACATTCTAGATTCTGTACTCCCATAATTTTTAGAATGTCATTTTTAAAAGCATCACTAATTCCTACCCCATCTTTTTTAATTTTCTCCTCTAGCTGCTTCCACTGTATGCAGGACACTTGACAGTTGCTACCAGCTTTTCTGGGCCACAGGCAACAAGAGTGGCTATACTTTTTGCTGGAACTGGGGAAACCTTTCTCTTTCTAGCTTCTGCACTGTTCTTTTGAAATAATGTTGTCCAAAATAACTTTGCAATTTGGGGAACGAAATGTCACATCTGACTGAAAATGGGTATCACAAATTGGTTTGGGAACAGAATGTTGAATAACAGTGGACTGGGTGAAGTGGGATAACTTTTTATTCCAAGTTGGATCAACTGATACAGTTCGAACAACATCAAGACCTTGTGGTAAGCATTCACAAAGGTTGGAGTTTGTAACCAACCTTAGCAATTTCTATGGCATTGTCCAAGGTTTTGAGGAATCTCTTTCTTTCTAATTGGTATATTCTGTGGTTGTCTGGAATTAGCCAGTTGTATACATACACAGTAAATTCCAACCTTTTATTTACATCAATTGTAAATTTTGGGATGCTCATTTTGGGATACTCATTTTGTACTCAAATTTTGTGCTTTCCTAGTTATGAGCTTTCACCGTCCAGGGTAATGTATGCTTTTTGATCATATATTTCTGAAGATCTTCGAGTGTTGATGTCAGTGAGACATTAGATGAGAACATTGATGGTGTGTCATCAACACTGGCCCTCACCAAAATTCGACACTCTTTCATGGCTTTATCATGGCTTTTGGTTGGCAAGTTCTCTGTGGGAATGTTTCCTGTTAGCAAAACCTTTCTTTTTCAATCTTAAAGTCAAATTAGATACAGCAATGAGCAAATTTGATATGCATATGACTTATAACTGTGTACAATGTTTTAGGTATACCTGAATCAACAATCATGGAGCTCACCATATCCACACATGAGAAAGTTTTTATTGACTCTGTCATTAGAAACACATGGAAAGGAAAATGGACATCCCCGGGAGGTGAGGTGAAGGTCTTTACAACTAAATATCACATAATCAAATGGACTGGGAGAAATACGAGAAAGCCTGTGGTTATGAAAGACGATAGCAAACGAAGTGCGAGTAAAAAGCTGGAAAGACGAGTTACATTGAGCGGAGACAGGGGCACCGAAGCAAAAGACCAGAATGACATGCATCACTACGAATTGGATAATGCGAATAAAAACGAAATCATCGATAACTTCCTAATAGTTGATGAAAGCCAAAGAAACGAATTCAGTACGGATCAACACCAAAACGAATTAAGACGGTGTAGTTCTGAAATATCAACCCAGTGTGATGCAGATATAAAACCATGCCATTGTACTGAATTTGCCGAACAATTCAAGCGCATCGAGAGAGACATTGAAAGTCTAAAAAACAGACTAGAAATTGATGAGGGAGAAGAAATTGTGTTGGCCTGTAATACTAGCACATGTCTAAACGAAAAGGTTCAACTAAGAAATAATCTGGAAAGTGCTAACAGAAAAATAAAAGGTTTAGAGACGAAAATTGAGTTGCTTGTATGTAAGAAAAGCCTGACGATGGCAATTAGAATAATCCAAGAAGACAATAGCCAACAAAATAACAATAGCTGTATTGAAAAACAAGAAAGCCCGTGGGTTAAAGTTCGAGATAAACAACTTAAGAAAAAGAAGCGTAAACATTGTGAGGCCAAGAAATCGCCACAACATGCTGCTGCAGAATCGGAAGAAAATTTGCCACAAATATCAGAAGAAACACAAACTGTTCAGCCTAACAACGTATCAAATGACCAAACGAGAGACAAACAAAAGAATGACAACCCTGTCGGAACAAAAACCTACAAGAGCACTACGTCTACAGTGTCAGTTGTGGGTGACTCCATGATTAAACACATTAATGGATATAAAATGTCAAAGGCAAACACTAAAGTCCAAGTCTCTTCTTTTGCCGGGTGTAATATGCAGGATATGACAGATATGGTAAACTTCATTTGAACAAACAAGGAACAAGTTTATTGGCATGCAATTTTATAAACCATATATATATATATATATATATATATATATATCGTTTGTTAATAAACGTTTGTTATAAACCACATATATATCATTTGTTTATCATACTGATGTACAACCAAGAATAGATGAGAGAAACTCAACCAATTTGGGCGAGTTAAATGAGTCTAATAATATCTCTAATTTAACTTGTACAAAAAACACAATACCATCCCATCGTAGTATGGCAATTGCATGTTTAAATATAAATAGCCTCATTGCCCACATAGATGAATTGCGAATATTTATTAGCAATGCAAAAATTGATATACTATGTGTAAATGAAACCAAACTCAACCCTTCAATCAATGATCGAGAGGTATATTTAGCTGGCTATGAAATTGTTAGAAGGGACCGAAATGTAAATGGACGCAATGGGGGGCATTTATATTAGGTCTAACATAAACTACCAAGTTAGAGATGATTTGCAATCTGCAACTCTTGAAAATTTGGTAGTGGAGATAAAAAAACGCGATCTAAGTCTGTTTTAGTCAGTACTTGGTATAGACCCCCTGACTCACCAATGAGTCAATTTATTGAATTTGAAAAAATGATTGGATCATTTGATGCCAAAAACCTGGAGTATTTTCTTTTGGGTGATCTAAATGTTGACCTTATTTCAACAACTGCATCACCAATAAAAAAAAATTAAAAGAGATATTAGATATTTACAGTATTAAACAATTGATTAATGAACCAACCAGAATTACGTTATCTAGAACCCTACACATACACACATACACATACTTATTTCCAGTTACAGATATATTTACATGAATTTTCACTAGCCGCAAGTAGCCAAGCTAATCGGGGCGGGTAGTGATATAATGTAATTATGAGAGGGGGATAATTATAGAAATGACTGAATTACAAGATAAAGAACTTAATAAGTTAAATAATTGCAGGTTTACAAAGTTACAAGCAGAACTGCATGCTGAAGCCAATATATTTGCTTATGTAAAGTTAATAAATTGGTAATATTGAAATCTCGCTAAAGTGCTAAATATAGGAATGAATTTGAGCACATAATTATATAATTAACCACAAAAATTGAGATTATACAATCAATTGTAGGATGGTTTGGTTTCAATAGGCAATCTGTTTATTATCAAGGGCAGATCAATATGGTCATTTTCCTTCTGTAGAATTGTCATAAGTGTTTTGTTTAATTTGGTTTTGAAGGTATGTTTCCTTTGCGCACAGAAACTTGGAGAAATACTATTCCAGATAAAAGAACCAAATCGCGAAAATGAGCGTTTTTGGATTTCTAATCGTGAAGAATTGATGTAAAAATTCTTGATCGCAGCTGCTCTCGTATTATATCTATGAATCTCGCATGTTTTGGTAAATAATTCTTGAAGAGCAATTGGTGCAACTTCATTAGAAATATCATGTAACAAGTTAGCGGATTCTCTAATGTATAGCATGTTGATAGGGAGGGTGTTTGAAGAGATAAATAGAGGGATAGAGTGTTCACGATTGTCTTTAAAGTAGATAAGTCTCAGCACACGTTTCTGGAGTTTGAGAAGTTTGTCCATATATTTTTGGCTGCATATCCCCATGCAACAACTCCATATGATAGATATGGCTGAATTAATGACTTATATATGTTCATTAAGGTATGGAATGGGACATAATGTCGGAGTTTTGCAATGATTCCAACAGTTTTGCTAATCTTTAGTGCAATGTAATTAATGTGTTGTTTCCAAGACAAATTACAATCAGTGAGAATGCCAAGATATTTTATATAATCCTTACTTTCGAGAGGTATGTATTTATTCGAATTATTGTCAAAAAGTTTAATAGTAGGCTGATAGGTCATTGGTTTTTGCGATGGTCGAAAGATTACAAAATTTGATTTTTTTATATTTAATGTTAGTTTATTAGCATTTAGCCACTTACAAACTTCCCTCAACTCGAAATTTACCACTGATTCTAAAGTTTTTAAACTTTTGTTAGCATATAATAGGTTGGTATCGTCCGCAAAGAGAAAGAAATTAAATACCTTAGATGAATTACAAATATCATTTATGTAAATCAGAAAAAGAAGAGGTCCAAGAACTAGAACCCTGAGGTACTCCACATAGGGTCTCCTCTTTATCAGATATACAATTTCCTACAAGAGTGGTTTGCGAGCGGTTTTTTAGGTAAGAGAAAAACCAATCATTGACAACACCTCTTATACCATAGTACTTTAATTTGCATAACAGAATGTCGTGGTCGACAGTATCAAACGCTTTTTTTAAGTCGATAAATATTCCACAAGAGAAAAGTTTATTATCCATGTTACTTTGGATTTTATTGATAATATCAAGAAGAGCATGTTGTGTAGAATGTTGTTCGCGAAAACCATATTGAGAATCACTAAAAAAATTTCTTAACTTAAGAAAGTTTTTCAATCGCGAGTTCATTAGGATTTCGAAAATTTTATTAAAAATAGATAAAAGTGATATAGGGCGGTAATTGTTTGGATCGGTATCTACACCATCTTTGTAAATTGGAATAATTTTTGCAATTTTTAATTTTTTGGGGTAGATTCCTCGCTCAATAGAAGTATTAATAATGTCAGCTAGAGGTTTGCTTAGAATATTTTTTGCACATTTTAAGATACGTGTAGGACAGGAATATAAGTAATTTCAAGTTCTATCTCAGATGGAGTTACTGGAAAGAATGCAAATGAGCCATGCTGAGAGGCTATATTTTCGTAATCGGTGTTCTGTTTTGGGAGATATTCAGAGAAATGTTTTTCTGAATGAGGCATCTTAGCTCCTAAACGATAACCACAAGAAGCAAAATGATTATTCAAAATCTTAGATATTTTTGGGGGATCGTGAATTAATTGGCTGTCAGTGGCACATTGCGCCATCGCATTAATTTCCTTTTTACGTTTTTTCCAATTAAATCTCTTATTCCATCCCAGGTCTTTTTTCATATTGTTTAGATTTGAACTAAAGTATGTATCGTAATACAGTCTCTTGCTTGCTCGTGTTAAGGTTACAATCGAGTTCCTATAAATTTTATATTTTAAAGGGTTTGAGTAAAATAATGCATTTTTAATTTTAATTGATACTCTTAAGCCTTTGGATATCCAAGGTTTCGTGAAAGACTTAGCCATTCGTTTGGAAATCATTTTGAGAGGTACATGTTTGTTTACAAATTTGTTAACCTGGTTATAAAAGGTCGAAAACAATTTATCAGGATCATGTCCATGGTTAGCTGTTATGGAATTCCAATCTGGGAATGAAGGAATAAAGGAATAAAGAAGGAATAAAGGAATAAATAAAGGAACAATGAAGGAATAAAGTCTCCGAATAACGAGAGTAGTCTCTAATTTTAAATTTTGTTACGTTGTTCTTAGCTGAAATTAAATCTATAATACAGAATTGAGAAAAATGGTCACTTACGTCCGATACGACATTACCGCTCGTTAATATTTTATCCGGAATATTAATGAAAATGTTATCAATTAGCGTGGCAGAGTCCCTGTGGACACGGGTTGGTTTATCAATACTAGGGGTCATTGAACAACTTTGTAAAGTCAATAAAAAATTATGCGCATAATTACAGCTATCGATTTTAAGCAAATCTATGTTAAAATCGCCCATGACAACAACAGTTTTGCCCAGAGAAGTGAAATATTCGAGTTTTTCTTCAAAATAATTTAGGAAACATTCTGGTGAACTATGTTGCCTACATAGCACACCACAAATAATATTCTTCCTATTTGGCATAAGAATTTCAATCCATAGAGCTTGAAAGTCCTTGTTCGCAGTTTTTTCAATAATAAAATATCTAAGTTCATTGTTGATATACATTCCGACTCCTCCTGCAGCAAGAGGCGTTGGAACAAATTCAAACGAGTACTCAGGAATATTGTAATTGAAGTTATCAATAGTAGCATCTGTTATGCAAGTTTCAGTTATACCTATAATACTAAAAGAAAAACCAAGTTCATCCAATATATGGGTTTGCAGATGATCAAGGTTTTTCCTCAAGCTACATACATTATTATGAAAGAATGTGAATCGGTTATTATATAAACTATTTGGAGCTTTGTCAATTTTTTGGAAGCTAATGGGTGAATAATACCTACTATGAATATGGTTACTGATAATATTGTGATCAGGGTTTATATCCGAATTAGGATTTGTATTCAGATTAAATAGGTCCAGATCATATATACTAGTAAGCTTATCTAAATAGTTTTTAGCGATATGATTTGGAGAAAGACTGTTATTAAATTGTCCGTGACTAGCAACAATATTGACAACGTTATAGGGCAGTTCGCGAAACATAGCTTTGTTTACTTTTTCGTCATGTTTGCTCCCCATTGTTATCACACAATATATTTTTAGTGTATAATTCTACTTATCTTAATGTACAGATCATTTTGCATCTTCAACCGTTGTCAGCGTAGCCAGGTCCTCAAGTGTCTTCATTCTTACTACACTGGAGTCATCAGATTTTCGAAGACAAATGTAGTTGTTCTTAGCCCAGCAGTACTTGAATCCGTAACGATTTTGCACTTTTTTAGCCTCAAAGAGAAGTGTCTGAAGGCGAGGTGTTAGATGTTCGTAGATGTTCATTCGGCCATGCTGTTCCTGCGCTTGGAATCCGAGTTGTTCGGGCTTTAGTTCGTATATTTTACGTCTTGCCGCCATGACTTTGTCTTTAGCAAGCCTTCGGACGAATTTGCAGATTATTGGGTCTGGACTAGCAGGTGAATTTCGATTCCGCTTCGGGACACGATGGGCAGTGTCTATATCTTGTAGAGAGACATCATTTACACCCAATTCTGAGAAAAGCTTTACACAAAGCGCTGCAGTCACATTAGACGATTCTTTGTCATTAACTGGCAGCAGTCCAACTATCTTAATATTATACTGATAGCTGTACGTTTCGATAGCTTCGATGGCTTCATATATTTCGTCGCAGCTTCTACTAACTTTATCAAGTCTTGAAGCGATTTTCTTAATATCTTGAGTAGCTTGTTTTCGAAATGCATCCAGATCGTCGTATTGTTTGCCGATAAACTCTACTGCTTTATTGTGGTCGTTTGACATGACCTGCGGCTGATCTTCAATGGCCGGTTTCTTGTTAGTCTGTGAGATAATTTTTTGGCTGACTTCGTTCAGTTGAGACTTTAATTCCTCAATTTCAGAGCGCAGTGCCTTGTTTGCTTCCTTTAAACCTTTTACTGTATCAGGCATTATACTTATTTGACTTTAATGTGGAAATTTAATCAATTTTAAAGAGCTTCGTTAACCATGACCGTTCAGCTCGAAGGTCATAGGCCCTGATTGTCTTATAAATACACCTTCTCATGTTGTAGATGCTGGAGTCGTATCCCTGTCAATAAGCGATCATTCATTGATTTATGCAATTCGTAAGGCTCACTATGTACAAGGGGTACCAAAAACGGTACATATTAGGTCAGTGAAGCAATTTAATAGAGAACACTATTTACGAGATCTTGAACAAAGCGAATAAACAATGAAAACCGAATAAACTTGAAACCGAATAAACAATGAAATTAAGGAAGTTAAGCGAAATTATTTTACAAATAATCTTGATCTTCATAAAGGTGACATGAAAAAAGCATGGAAATTAATTAACAAATTAAGTTCCAAAAATATTGGCAAAACAAATAGAGTGTCAGAATTAAATTTTAATAATCAAGAAATAACGGCACCTATGGATATTGCTGAAGCTTTTAATGACTATTTTTCGAGTGTTGGTGACAACCTGGCTGCATCTATACCAACCCCTGACCATGATCCGAGCTTTTATCTTAAAGCAACAGATAAGACATTTTCATTGCAATCTCCTACCTTTGAAACTGTTTATAAATTCTTAAGTGAAATTGATGAGAAAAGAGCTGTTGGGTTGGATAATATACCCAACAAATTATTGAAAATGGCTGCACAGGTGGTTGCACCTTCACTGACGGGAATATTTTCTGCATCAATATGTACAGGAATATTCCCAAACGAATGGAAGGCAAGCAGGGTGACACCAATATTCAAAAGTGGTCCTAAGAGTAATCCAAGCAATTACCGACCAATTTCCATTATTCCTGCCATTGCAAAAATTTTTGAGAAAATTATTTCTGACCAATTATATGAATACCTAAGCACAAATGAGATTTTAAGTTCCTGTCAATCTGGCTTTAGATCGCTACACAGTACGGTAACTGCAATGCTTGAAGCCACAAGTGACTGGTCCATGAATATTGACAATGGTTTAACCAATGGAGTAGTTTTTATTGATTTTAAAAAGGCTTTTGACACTATCGATCACCAAATTATGTTACAAAAGCTAAGAAACTATGGTATTGATCAAATGAGTCTAACCTGGTTTGAATCTTATCTTACCAACAGAACTCAAAAGTGCCGTGTTAACGACCAATTGTCAAATTCTGCCCCGGTGACTTGTGGTGTTCCCCAAGGTAGTAACCTGGGCCCATACTTTTTCTGATCTATATAAATGACCTTCCAAATTGCTTGAATCATGCTATACCTAGAATGTTTGCTAATGACATGGGTATAAGTTATTCAGCAAACACAACAGGTGAGCTCCAAAATGTAATAAACTCCGAGTTGAAAAAGCTTAATAGCTTGGCTTATTACTAATAGATTAAGTCTAAATATTGTTAAAACGGAGTTTATGGTAATAGGATCCCAGCAAAAATTAAGGTCCATAGAATCAACGAAAATGAAATAACTAGGGTTGAATCGGTGAAATCCTTGGGAGTTTATATTGATAAACATCTTACTTGGCATGATCATATTGATAAACTCTGTAAGAAGGTTGCATCTGCTATTGGTGCACTAAAGCATGTTAGATCGTTTATAACTATAGACGCATCCATACAAATATACCAAGCGCTCATTCAGCCTCATTTCGACTATCGCTGCATGGTATGGGATGGCCTTGGGGAAACACTCGGTACTAAATTACAAACATTGCAAAACCGACCAGCAACAGCCATCATGAGATCAAGTTATGATACTGATGCAAGTCTATTATTAGATAGTCTGCATTGGGATAACTTGTCATTAAGACAACAAAAACTTAAACTTGGTCTTATGTTTAAAACACTTAAGAGTAATGCTCCCAGTTATTTACAAGAATTCTTTTCCATTTGCAGAACTGGGTATAACCTAAGAAATTCTGAAATGAGGCTGAACTTGCCTAAGCCATCAACAAATTACTTAAAACGAAGCTTTTGTTATAGTGGTGCACTATTGTGGAATAGCCTTCCTCAAGAAATAAGAAAGCTTCAAACACAGGCTAAATTTAAAAAAGCTGTTAATAAGTATTTCGATGAATAAAAGAGCCCCCACAGGGCAATCGTGTAAACCAGTATTAGTATTAGTTTATTGTCTTTCTTGTAATTACTGTAGATTTTACCGTGTATAAATAAATTGTATAATAATTGATGCCGAAGCACACTATTCTTCACCAGTCCGTGTCCGGTTCGCGAATTATATGCAGCCAAGAAGTCAACTTGGGATGTTTGTACAAATGGAAAGATGATCAGATTGAGCTTGATCGTAGGCTTGATGGAACATCATACTTCTAAGGGATAAATAATCACAGCGATTGTTATTTTGGCAATATCGATTGAGCAGTATCGTAAAATTGTCTGACTTGTACAAAGATATTCCTATAGCAACCCAGTGTGGATTGTTGTCTGCACATATTAACTTACCAGCAGTTACATGTATAAATAACATGTCAAGTTGTCAACCGACTTTTGTAAAAGGTATGACGGTCTGTAAAAATACATCTCTGAGATATGTCCATTGTTTAATGGCATAATATGAAATAATCCTACCAGCCTACATTTATATATTCACCTGACTGTCACTAAAGTACTCGGTCTCAGAGTACACTATATTTTTTGATAATGCTCACAATTGTATTATATAGTTTTGCAGTTTTGACTGAGTACAATCTTAGGGGCTGATTACATGGAGAGTTTTCACCCCGGTCTGAGTTTCAGCCCAGTTAAACAAGCTGAAATTGCATCACAATTACATGAGCAGTTTGAGCCTGGGCAGAGTTTAGTCAGAGGCTCAGAGCTATATTTATAGTCAACCCGGGCTGAGGCTGAAATAATTTGAGTGTCATGAAATAAGACAATAAGCCTGTTATGCTTCTTTGAAGCAATCAGATGCTGATTAGTCGACTATTTGACTTGTGTGAGACTGTGGTTATATGTAAAGTATTTAATAAAGGTGGAACAAACACGCAAAATAAAGCCATTTAAACAGTTGTTTTTTTAGGCCGGGCTGAAATTATTTGCGATTACATGCTGCCGGGCTGAAATTATTTGCGATTACATGCTGCCGGGCTGAAATTATTTGCGATTACATGCTGCCGGGCTGAGTTTCAGCTCGGGCTGAAATTTCAGCTTGGGCAGCTCAAACCAGGCTGAAACTTCAGCCCGGGCTGAAACTCTCTCCATCAAGCACCAGCAGATTGTTCAGTTGATTTGCAATAGGCATAGCCTTGAAGGTGTCATTATTGCATTAAAATAATAATTGGGACAAAAACTGACTTAATATTTCTATATATGGAATTATTATTAAATTCTACATGTCCAATGATTCATTCAAGTATTATTATTGTTTATACAGGGTGTATCAAAAAAAGTAAGACAATTTTGAAATTGCTCTCAATTCCACAATTCTGTTCATGAAATGTAATTTTTTATATGTATGGATTGCTTGAGTTCTTAAATTATGGAAAATATAAAAAAATTTGAAAATAGTAAATTTTGTTATCCAGGGGGGTGGTCAACTTTTGCTCTCCTAAAAGTGGCTTGCGCACGGAAATGACAAACTGTATTCTTTATTTGAGTTCATGTATGAAAAGTTCGCTATTTGTTGCATTTATGATAAAATTTCGGCAGGATTTTACCGAGTACAAATCCTCCGAAAAGCCTATGAAAACGTTACATTTTTCTCCGTTGGTGCTGTTCTTGCTTCATTATGAATTCATTTTTACTCCCATGAGAGTTCCATGGAATTTCCATGGAATTTGTGCTTTCGAGTTGTTTGTGCTGAAACGCATTTTCTCGTATAATACCCCGTACACTTTGAAATGGCGATGCCACAACTTACCCCGCAGCAGAGAGCTTTTATGGTATCAGAGTTCCTCCGTAGCAACAACATAAACTTGGTTCGCCAAAGTTTCACGAAAGAATATCCAGATGTACGATGCCCTTCATGTGCGAATACGTAAAGGGCATCATACATCTGGATATTCGTTCGTGAAACTTTGGCGAACCAAGTTTATGTTGTTGCTACGGAGGATACCATGCATAAAAGCTCCCTGCTGCGGGGTAAATTGTGGCATCGCCATTTCAAAGTGTACGGGGTATTATACGAGAAAATGCGTTCCAGCACAAACAACTCGAAAGCACAAATTCCATGCATGGAAATTCCATTGAACTCTCATGGGAGTAAAAATGATTCATAATGAAGCAAGACCAGCGCCAACAGAGAAAAATGTAACGTTTTCATAGGCTTTTCGGAGGATTTATTCTCGGTAAAATCCTGCCGAAATTTTATCATAAATGCAACAAATAGTGAACTTTTCATACATGAACTCAAATAAAGAATACCGTTTGTCATTTCCGTGCGCAAGCCACTTTTAGGGGAGCAACAGTTGACCACCCACCTGGATAGCAAAATTTACTATTTTCAAAATTTTTTATATTTTCCATAATTTAAGAACTCAAGCAATCCATACATATAAAAATTACATTTCATGAACAGAATTGTGGAATTGAGAGCAATTTCAAAATTGTCTTACTTTTTTTTGTACACCCTGTAGTTGCATGACATTTGAAACTATGACTATGTTACAGGTATATATAATCCATCCAAACAAGACCTAAAATAGGTTGGATGCATTTTTATTTGAAAGGGCGGTAGACTAACACTCGTTTAGCTTACATCTTTCGGTACGATGTCTGGAACATACTTGACTGGTATAAGTGTTACTTGTTATGCTTCTTGACCGCTTTTCCCTCGTCCATCACCATGCACGCTTTAGTTAAAATTGGTTATCATGTACATACTTTGTTCCTCTATTTACAATTATTTAAAACTGACGCATTGTCGTCAAGGCCCATTTATTAAATCAAATCAAATGCCATACCACTAGGTGTATGTGATTGTCATTCTGGCGCATGAAA